CGTATGTTAACAAACTGTCAGCTATTCCACATTACTTTAGAGCTCTTTGATTGCAAGCAACAGAAAATTTCCCTGGCTAATTAAAGGGAAAAGACTGTATCAAAGGGGGTAAGGTGGAGCTCACAGAACAGATCGAAAGGCAGAAGACCCCAGCACAGACAAAAGTAGGAATGAAGAAAGGTCTGAGGAGGCCTAGCTAGCAGGAACAACGTGACAGTCCTAACTAGGTGCTGCTACTCAAATAAACAAGTTCAAGTCATTTTTTGAGTTTGTTGTTTATATAATATCACTGAAGTTTCTGAATTCCAGAAGAGAAGGTCCTGTTGACACTATTGACATTTTGGACCAGACAATTCCTTGGTGTAGGTGGGGCTGTCCTGTGCATTGTAGAATATTTAGTGACACCCATGTCCTCTACACACTAGATGCCAGAAGCACCCCTACCAGCTGATACAGAATGTCTCTAGACTTTGCCCAGTGTTCACTAGTATGCAAAATTACCCCCAGTTGAGAACCTCTGGCTTAGATTTAATAAAAAACTGCCCACCTCATGGCTTACAAAAGGCCAGGTACCTTGAGGTACAATCCCATAAGACAAAGAAAAGATGGATTTGTTTCCAAAAAAGAAACTGGGATACTCCTTCCAAAAGATAGGGGAATTAATGCTTGCTGTCCATTTCAAAAACAGTAAGTTGAAAGCTGAAGATTATGTTTGTTTAACCCATGTATTCAGAGAACAGAAAAATATTGAATTAAAAAATATTTGAAAACAAATCATAGAAAAAGTAATGCATCAAAATGTTGTATCAGTCCTTTACAAAGCTTTGGATGGTTAGAATTCATGTGCTGAAAAAGCATAATCCTGGTAAAATTGGTGTTTTTTTCTATTTTTATTCAAATTATCTGTTTCCCTATCTGCTTTTAAATCCTGCCAGATCTTTTTCCAACTCTTGGTATCTATGGACTTGTGGTAATTGACATGGCTAATTTAAGGGAAACTGATTCCAAATCCCAGAGAACACCCAATGCATCTCTGTATTAATTAGTCAGCTAACTCTGTTGGTTCCAACATGGTGCTAATGAGAACAAAAACATAAATCCAACCCTCATGCCATATGGGCTTGTTCAGCAGCCAGTCTGGAACCTCACTCTAACCAGCCAACTGATAAATGTGCATGGCTTTTGGTGGGGATGGAGTAGGAGAGAGCACGGATGTGTTCAGACAAATCCATCCCCATATCCATATCTCATGCAGCATACCCTCACAGGGAAGGGGCTATTCTTTTATCCCTATAAAATACAGAGCCTGACACATGTTCGTCATGGTATCTCCTTCCTAACACGTATGATGCTGTATCTTTTCTCTTCCCCCTCCAGCTCTTAACTACTCACATCAGAGGCCTTTGCTGCTTCCCTTTTCTTCTATTCATTAACATTTCTTAAAAATCGGAGACAGAACTTCATATCCAATCTACCTTGACTCCGAATTCCCTGATCCTACCATCAGAAGCAAGATGGGCCTGTCTCTTCTTCCATTATTACTTCTGACAGCCCCAAAGAAATCATTTAATATTCATTTCAGTCTTCTTTTTCAGACAGTCTTAAAAATCAGTTTCAAAATTTTTCTTCTTGATCCTGTCATTTAGCACTGAAATGGCCCAAACTGATGACTTGGGACGTTAGTGTTTCTCCCCTCTGCCTTTAGGGTGTCAGCTCTAGGGTGAATCTGTTCTGGTCTGACTAAAGCTGCCTTTCATTTCAGTGTGGTTGTTTTTCACTGAGAAACATGATTTTTTTTAAAAAAAGCTGTATAGGTAGAACAACTTTCAATTATCCTTTTCTTTAAAAAACCTGCAGTAAAAAAAAACAGGCAAAACACTCTGGCTTAGAAAAAAATCAGGTTCAATAGGTGAAAAAGAAAAAGAAGAGACCTAAAATTGCAGTTATTCTAAAATCTTCAAGAGTGCCACTTTAAAACCTCTATTTTCAAATAGTACATTAGTAACAGTAACATCATCTTATTTATTGATTAAAAAAGAGAAGGCAAAATAGCCATTCATGAAAAGATGCTAAAAGCTGCAAGGAAGCCAAGAACAGGAAAAAAAAAAAGCGTCTGAAAGAGAGGAAAGGTAATGGCAGCTTTTCTAAAGCAGAAAAAAAGTTCTTTGTCTTTGCTGCCATTCTGTGAACAGCCTAGAGAGCTCAGTTCATTGTCATTGTCCCTGCCCTTCTTCCTTGCATTGTTTTGCTTTTTCAGGTTGTCTTGAATTCTCCAAGTAACATTATTAGACTAGAGGGATCAAAAACCACCAGAAGGACCAAGGGGTAAGGAGGGTACCTGACTAAATGAAACGCATCCAGCCCATTTTATTCCTTAGCCTGTGTGGTCTCTTCTTAGCAAGCAGAAGAGGGTTTTAAAAGTAAAAAATGGAACAGATATGACATTAAAAGAGAGTTCTGGACCATGCAAAACAGTACTCTAGCTCAATAACCATAACCAGTTTTTGCTCTAAGAATCACTCTGCTATATTTGTAATCCCACCAGCTTGTTATTTATATATATTATTACAGTGTCCTAATGGACCTCCCCCTTCCATGACTCTGACTTGCTTAAGAAAGAACATACCTGCTAAAATGGTGAGAGAACAAAAGCCATCAGCCTGAACTGCCAGAGAGAAAAACGATCGGATTTTTCTTATAGGATCAAAGAGTAAAAAAATCATTCTTTCTGGAACTGTGGAAAATCAAACATGGGGACTTAAAAGTGTCACCTCAGGAATTAACACAAGAATGTGTGTGCCCAGCCCCAAACCACTTTCTGAGACGGAAGAGAAATTGTAGGAACCTGACCACATCATAGCAAATGTAATCAAATCGACTTTGAAAAGGCAGGATGTGACTTGGGGATCCTGGATCCTGGATCTTTTCTGCCTGCCAAATATGTGACCTTTCTGTGCAAAGGAGGTGTCTTGCTAGTGCCACCAGGAGGCCACTCACATTAAACACAAGAGTATTGTCCCAGCTTTCTGGTTCTGATTGCATGAAGTCAGCCCATGACTGCATTGGGCTAAAATCACTGAATGTAACCAAGGGAAGGTGATAGTACTATTGTTTGGATGTTTATTGAACATCAATAATGCATTACACTCCATCTGCAACACAGAATTAGATGCTGCCCCTGACTAGGAATTCATTAATCTACATGGATATACAGGCAACCAGGGGATGCCTTGACAACAAGAAGGGAAAAATAGGAACTGTTTAGATTATCGACTTTTTAAATAAATGAATCGTCTTTAGAGACTGTGGTTGTAGTTGGGCGAAGAAAAATTTTAAGACAGATCCTGAATTAAGTCAGACAGTGAGAACACGGGTTCTGTAGCCACAACAGAATTCCCGAAAGTTCTGCCAGACTTTAAGCAAAGCTAATAGAAGAACATCCAGCTTTTTAAAATTAGGTTATGATTCATTCTACGAAAGTTTCATTTATTTTGCTAAGAAATTTACTTCTAAATTCTTGCAAATAACATTAGCTCTTTGAATGCATTTCTAATTGAATTAGAATTACAAACACTGCAAACTAGACTCAACTGCCAGAGACAGAAAATTTGTACTACCTATGTAATTAACACACATCCTTAGGCTCACAGGCAGTACTGACCAAGAAATAAGACCCTCAATTGGGATAACCCACCTTTAATCTAGGATGCCATGCTTTTAGCTTGTTGGTCTTTATCTCACATTTCCTTTTGATACTTCGGCATTTGTAAAGCTATCTTAGATTCTAATAAAATGAATCTAATGCAAGTTCAATGAACAATCACAAAACATATTGACTGACAGGTGACTTTAGATGTCACCTAATAAAACCTTCCTCCAAAGTTGGGAAGCACCCCGGACACATTCCTGATAACCTCTGCTTAAGCACATCCACTGACAAATGTCCACTTCTCAAGGCTCTCCTGGGTCACTCACCTTCAATGGTATAGGATCTCATATGGAACAGGCAACATTTACAGATGAATAAGTAAGTTCTAAGATATATTAGTGGGGGAAGAGTAAGAGGGAGAGTATATGTTTATTTTAATTGTCTCTGCTTTGCTGAAGCATTTGGTTTTCTGATGCTTCCATTTCAAATATGCTATGTAACTCCATCATCCTGTGAATTCTTTCCACTATACTACCTTCAAATGTATTCTCTAAATCAAAAGAACGATAGCACCAAAAGTCCCAAATGCTTATGATAATTCCTTGCAAATTACCCATCAGATTTCAGTCCGTATCTATTCACCTAAGAAAATGTATGCCATGAGCCTCATGGAGTCAGATGGAGAAAAGCACTTTGGATTTTCTATATGCCTTAAAATTTCAAGTCTGGCATTCTCTAAATGGGAATGGTCCTGATCAACAACTCCATAGGTGACCAGTGTATTGATACCTATTTATGGAAGATATTTTTGGTTAAACACAAGGCTACTTACTGGTGGAATAGAGAAAAATATATATATATATCAGATGATGTGTTTTCTTGTTATGAAAGATCTTCTACAGTCTTACTGACTAGACTAATACTCGAGGAAACTAGAATACATGAGGCCATGAAATAAATCATTAAGCTAACATTTAGTTTTTTGAATTGAAATGGAAGAGGGATACATGTATAGATTTGCTAATTACACTTCTGCTCCATACAGACTAGCTCTGAATGGCTCATCTATGGCTTAACTTGACTTCAGGGATATTTCTTCAAGCCCTCTCTCAATTCTTCTACACATTTAGCAAACAACATTTTCAAAGCATGGTTTCTTACAGAACACACTCTGTTCTGGTGGCTGCTCTCTCTCCTTCCCATCTTGGAAGACACAAACACGAAAGTTAAACACTTTCGACACCTACCCTGTATTAGTTTCCACAATCTTCCATGCCAGTATGGAAATAAGCGTCCAAAACCTAAAAAGCTTTTTCTTTTAAATAGATGGTAAACAGTTTTAAATACTTACAAACAGTCCCTTTCACATCCTGTTGCCAGCTTCTTTGCGTATAGCATTAACCAGCGGGAAAAAAATAAATGACAGGAAAAAAAATAGCCCAAAGTGAGCAGCAAGTGGAAGCTGGAAAGAAAACATAGGAAAGAAATATATGTAAATCATTGCCTGAACCCTTCGTGCTTTCTCTTCTTAGATTTTAGCTTTACACAATTCAATTTCACACTAAACACAGCAGAGATGGCTGAGACAAAGGAGGAAGACAGTGAATTGTTTAATGTACATTCTGAAAGAAAATGATGCCATTCCTTTCTGAGCAAATGCATATCAGCTTTCCCACCTCTATAAATGAATAAAATTATTTTTGAATAAATAGTCACCATAAATTTAGATGCTGCAAAAATAAATCCCCCAGACGTTTTGTGTAGCTTCGAGAGTAAAAAGCTGCCAAGGCATTTACTCTGAACATAATACCGTACTCTACAAGTACGATACATTGAGCACCAAATACAACCAAATGCAAAATATTATACGGAAGATGGAGCACATTTCATGCCTTTTAAGGAGACATAAGGCCTTGAGTGCAACCTCTTGGGAACATAAAGTCAAGCAAATAAACTTGTTAATACATGAAAAAAATAATGGATGCTGTTTGCTTGACTCTGGAGTTAAAACTGAAGAGAATCAGAGATTTTTCAGTTGGGGCAAATTAACAACATTGGGTTTCAGTTTGTATTTTTTTAAATTAAAATATCATAAATGTTAACTTGTTGTTTGCAAATAATGGATTTCTATAACATCTAAGTAAACATTAAATATATTACGTAACAATATTTCCAGTTTTGATACCAGGAATCACAATTATAGATGTTAGAGACCCCTTATAGAGCTTGGACAAAACTATAGAAACTTAAAAAAAAAGAAAAAAAACTGACAAAATTTTTTTGAGACAGCTGTGCCCTCTGGAGGTGGCACTTGGGAATTGAATAAATCGTCCCTAAACCAATAACAATGACTTTCCTAAAGAATTGAACACGCACTTGGAAATGCAAAGAAGGCTTAGAAGGTTTCATTCATGTTCCTTTCTTTGTGTCAAACCAGTTTTCAATGAATACTAATTTAGAATTTCAATTTTAAAGTGTTCAAATGGGCACAAAACATTTTAGTAGAAGGGATTAAAAGCTTGTGTTCAATATCTGGAATACAATGATTAGAAACTTGCCGAATATTATGTAAAGAAAGAACAGTGGTTCCAAATCAAATATCCTCAAAACTGCTTTCAGTGAACTGCATGGAGCCATGGCCTGGCCTCTTCCTACCCCACTTCCCCCAACTCTCAGAGACAACTGAATTTTTTGTCCTATCTTTTTAGAATAAATCACCACCTCTGCTTTTTCTTTTTATCTGTCTTGTTATACTTGATTCCTAATAAATGGAGCGAAATTTCACCATCTAGGGAATATATTATTCCAATGAAAAAAAGTGAGAGATAAACATTTCTTGATGGAGTTTTAGAGAGAAATTAATAAAGTTGGCTTTGTGTGCTCAGAAATTCAATAGGCCAAATAAAATATAAATGATAGAAATAATTATGGGGATAGGGGAAGCGAAAAACATTCCCCAAAGTAGATTTTACTTGTTAAAAGCAGAACAAAGCTGCCACTTTTAAAGGAAGTAGGGATCTTCTTGATTCTAACTTTTGCCTTGGATGTGGGTGAATGTTGTGTTTTTAAAGAAACTAGAAGAATTAAGTAAGGTTGCCACACCGGGGGAGAGTCTAATTACATCGGCTTGAGGAGAATAACCCAAATATCAGTGGGATGCAATTATCTCAGCAAACAGGTTCCCTGAAGCTCGAGGAGTGCACGGCCTGCGCAGCCAGGTGGGACTGGAACAAAGAAGGTTCGGAACGAAGGAAGCCAAGGTCCCCGCTTCTCACTCATTTGGGCCGCGCTTGCGTCTCAGGTTCTGGCCGTTGTCCCAAAGGCAACTTCACATCCCAAGGCCACTTCCTCCCTCTTCCCCTGAGGGAAGAGATGGACCTAGAGTTCCTAGAGAGAGCCTCCCTCTTGCTGGCTTCCCGCTGCCTCTGGTTCCAACTCGGGGACAATTCTTAACTCAAGTTCTCCTGCTCCTTCTCCCCAATTGTGCCCCCGACCCCCCGCTCCTTAAAGAGGCCAAGAGGCCTCCCGAGGTACAAGAGGTCTCAAGGATGACTGCCCTGAAGCCCACAGGTGATATCCAGGTCCCACTGAAGGTGCGCGCTCGGCATCTCCAAATATGAAAGCAAACATGTAAAGACAGGCAGATAATTTGGGGCTGACATAGTCAGCCCGCGTCCCGCTCTCCGTCTCCCAGAGCCACGCACCTGCTCGCACCCCTGCGCAGGTCCGCTCACCTGCGCGTCGGCTCGTGGGGCCGCTGCGCCTCCACCCGAGTGCCGACAGAGGGCGCCCGTGGCGAGCCTCGCCGTCCACAGCCCGCTCCGCGGTGGGCCTGGGTTTCTACTGAGGTGCCCGGTAGGGCCAGGGGGACGGCACTGTGGTCTAACAGGGAAGGAATCTGGGTTTCGGCTATCAGGGACGAATTATTTAACTGGTCTGAGGCCTCAGGCTCCTCATGAAAGGAAATGACCAGAACATTAATATTTAAGCAGTTAACAGTTAGGATTGTATCATTCATTCATTTATTCATTCATTCACAAGAAATATACCTTGAGGTCTCCATCGTGTTTCAAGCATTGTGGAAACACGAGAGGTTCCCTAGCAATCAAATTAGACCCAGCCTCTGCCCTTTTGGAAAGTACCTTTGAATGGGATTCACCTGGGGTAGCGTAAATGGGGCTTCACATGTGGGTCCTCTTAGCTCACTTCCCAGGACACGCTCAGCCTTCAGAAAATATTGGTGCTTATTAATTATTATGAAGTGCTAGTGTCAACATCCAGTTCTTCCTCCTTCTGCAGTACAGGGGTTTAGTTCATTCCTGGTCCCCTAGAGCTGAGCGCAGCCTTCCTTGTGTTAATAGCTCAATGAGAGTTTGATGAATGAATGATGTGATTGAATAGGCACATACCTTGAATCCCTAGGGTGGAAGTAATGGAAAAGAGGAAACCTTGCCACCTATAAGACAAATAACACTGGGGCTGGAGTGGAGCCTCCAAGGTAACTTTCCTTCTGGAACGGGCCTTGCATCTTTGAAAGACTGGCCACTTTCCCAAGAGAAACGGAACCTCTTTCAGCTAAGAGAGATGTGGACCTGCTCAGGCACCAACCTCCAGCCCAGAGCTTCCTTATTAAGAGCTTCCAATGACACAGTGTTAGCTGCCCCCTGCCCCCTTTTTAGGTATGTTTAGGGGTTTCCAATGGTTTCAGGGAACCAAAAGCTTTCCCTTGGAATTTTCCCTCAAAGGAATGGATCAGAGATGACAATTTAAACTATGGAAGGGTGTCTTATCTTTGTAAAAACAGATCCTGGAAAAATGGGAATCTTCCTTTTAACTCATTACTAAGTGTTTTAAGGTTTTGACTTCTCAAACAGCATCTGAAGAAAGGCAGAGTCTGTTTCCTTTTTCTATCTAGCCCAGCTGAGACTGATTTTTTTCTTTAAAATAAATTTTAGAAAGATGTATTAATCTTCCATTGCTATGTAGCAAATTACCACAACTTTAGTTCAAAATACCACATATTCATTATCACACAGTGTTTGTAGATCAGGTGTCTGGGCACCAGGTTCATTCTTCAAGGTATCATGAGGCTGCACTAAAGCTGTTAGCTAGCTGCATCATCATCAGGAGGCTATACTAGGTAAATAGGCACATCTATAGTCCCTTAGGTTATTAGCAGAATTTATCTCCTTGAGGGTTGTATGACTGAGGTCTCACTGTCTTGCTAGCTGTTGGCCAAGGATTACTTTCAGCTCCAAGAGGCCACTCTGGTCCTTGCTATGAGGTCCCTTCCACAGACCCTCTCAAACTCCCTTATTTCTCTCTCTCTTTGCTTTGAATGTTTCATGTGTTTTTTTAGTTCCAGGGTACATGTGCAGGGTGCGCAGGTATGTTACATAGGTAAACTTGTGCCATGGCGGTTTGCTGCACCTATCAACCTAGGTGTGAAGCCCGGCACGCATGAGCTCTTTTCCCTCATGCTTTCCCATATCTCTTTTAAAACTGATTTGATCAGGAATATCCAGATCATCTCCTTTTTAATTAGTTCAATCCAAAATCCACTGATGAGGAACCTAATCATGGGAGTGGTATCCCAACCGATTCACAGCAGAGGGAATTATACAGATGCTCTAAGTCGGTCCAGGCTGCTGTAACAAATTTCACTGACTGGGGGCAAAAGAAACCTTGCTTTCTCATAGTTCTAGAGGCTGGGAAGTCCAGGATTGTGGTCCCCTCAGGGCCAGCCAGTTGGGTTCCTGTCGAGGGCCTTCCTCCTGCTTTGCAGAGGGACCTCTTGTCACTACATCCTCACATGACAGAGGGAGAGATTTTCTCTCTCTCCTATCTCTTCGTATAAGGGCCCTGGTCCCATCATGAGGGCTTTACCCTCATGGACTAATTGCCTCCCAACGACTCCACCTTCTAACACCATCATATTGCATATTAGGGCTTCAATATATTAATTTGAGGGTCACAAATATTCAGTCCATAGCAACAGAACAGGCATGCCAGGGGGTGGGAATCTTGCAAGTCATCTTAGAATTTTCTCCACCAAAGAAGAAAATAGAGAAAAATAACCCAAGAAAAGGGAAAGTCAGATTTCTACCTAAAATAACAAGTGTCTGAAAGCCAGGGTGCCTGCAGGACCGAAGGCGCCCCTGCTTTCCACCTGCCCCCTTGGCACTCTCCAGCTTCTCATTCTCCTCCCCCAGGCCTGTGCATGACTGGGAGTAAGAGCCAATGCCGGAGCTCAGAGGAGAAAAGCATTTACTGGAGACTGGAGGGAAAAAAGGCCATGGACTTCCGTCCCACGGTGCCTCTGACTCTGAAGCACAGCAGCAATGAAAACTGGGGGGCGTCAGGAAGCCACACCTGGGCTCAGAGCCCAGCTCTGCCACTTATTCACCATGTAACTCTCGAGGCCTAATTTCTGAATCTTCATTTCTACATCGGCAAAATGAG